CGACTCAGTATTTCTCTCTCGTTGGCCTGGGATGACAGGCTCACTCCTCGATCCTTGTTTATTCAAAAGGGAAGTCTAACTGGGATGCATCTAGAGGTCAGTCAATCTCTGAGAAGAGTAACCGGCCGTACTTGGGAAATAACAATGGGATATGATTAACAGAAACTTCTGGTTTCCTTCTAATTAGTGACAGATGTATGAATAGCAATTTAGGGGAGTTACAGTGATTCTCAGGAGAAAGGGTAGAAGCATCCGCATTTGTGAAAGTAGCTGTTCTCAGTGTATATTTGTCTTTAAGCATTTTGTGCTGGCTCCTTCCTACCACTGCCCTCCACTCATGGCTGTGCTTACTTGGTTCCACCCAAAGACACTGTGACCCCTCCAGGCCAGGGCCACCACTCCTGTCTGGCTCAGTTCCCAGGGGCCGACCTGGTTGCTCCCAGCTTTCTCCAGGAAGATGTGACTCTGCTCCTGTTCCCTGATCACCCCGCCACCTTAATTGCGGCTAACTGGGAGGGCAGTCGTATGTTCCAGGTTGCCTGAAACAGTCCCAATTTACACCCCCTTTCGCTCCGCGGGTCCCGATTTGGATAATAAATCCTATGACCACCCGGTCATTTGCAGCTCGCAGGCTAAGTGCATCCACGTGCAGACACATCTGATCGCTTCTGCTATTGACCAATGCAGCTGCCTCCTTCCCGTGTTTGCTTCTGAGCCTGTCTTGTCTTGATGGCGCCAGCTGGCTGATGGGACACGGCCTCCCCTAAACTGTCCTGTCCAGCCACTCACCCAACCCTGATCTATCAGTATTTTAGGAAATTATCTCTGTAATTCTAAAGATTTGGAGGACTGTGTGTGTATGTACACACATAAACACAGAAAAGAATATTATGAAACATTTGCTTAGAACAGCTTATTCTTTCCTTGAAATCTGTGTTTTTACCATTCTCTTGCTAACAATATATTAAGAAGAAAATTGAAATTGAAATTTTCTTCTTATTATATTGTTAGCAAGAGAATGGTAAAGATATTCCTTACTTGTATTGCAAAACGCCACTTTATAGAGCCAAACTGACAGTAAATGTACTTTCATCAGCTGAGTGATCTGAATTTTTGATTTTTATATTCTCTCTATTTTAGCATAGACAGTGAAACTGCAAAGACATTTTTCATTTTGAATTTTTCATCAAATTCACTTCCTGTTATTATTATTTCAACACTGGAGAGAAAAGTTTAATTTCCAGTGTTTTTCATTTAACTTTAATAGAAAACAAACCCATGTAAGTCTACTTTAAAAAAAAAATAAACATTTTGGTTCTGAATGTGAACTTGTTTGATTATAGGAACTAGTTTACTTAATAATTTCATAATACGAGCATCACCCTAATTATATCCCTTGGCCATTCCAGGCGTGATCACGAGGCCTTTGAAATTCGGAGGATGAACTTGGACTGACCCTGTTCCAAAGGACCCAAGTGGCCTGTGGCTGATTTCCCTGCTGACAGCTGAGACAGTACATTTCAAGGTTCCTTTCGGGTTTCGAGGGCTCATGGGGGCACTTACGTCTCATCTGTGAAGGCTATTCCAAAATACTCCTTTTCCTTCAGATTGAAGTGTGATGCCACGAGGTCAAGCAGCTCCTTGGCCAAAAGCTTGGGCTGCAAAAAGAACAGAATGGAAAAAGGGTAAGTGATGAGGCCATGCTTCCTAAAACATGCAATTTCAGATGTACGTAATTTTGTAACTGCAAGTTAAAAGCTCAAGTACATCCCTGCAAATGAATTTTATAAAACCCATAGGAGTAGACAGTGAGGACGCTGCCGAGCCAACAGCCAAGTCCAGGGCCAAGGCAGATGGAGACCTTCTGCCTTGTTCCCCAGCAGTTTGTTCTACCAACAAATGGTACTCGCTCTTCACAGGGCCGTGGAACCCTGCGGCTCTCCCTGGCCCCAGAGGACATTTTATACTGAACGGACAGGAAGACGCCTAATAAAAATATCTGTATGCATACATACACAATAAATATACACATTGTGCAAGACATATATAAAATACACATTATAAAATATAACTGTATATATGAATATTATACTGTTATATATTTTAATCATTGTATTAACATTAATATTGTAATATATTATACAATATTTTGTTACATATATAATTTACACATATATTTACATATAAATATATAATAGATATGTAATATAGATTTTACATATTACCATATAAATTACATACATAATAAACACATATTACATACTATACTAAATTCAACAAAATATATTTAAAATATATTAATGTATTTTATAGTATGCAATATGTAATTATATTATTATAATTAACCAATTACATATTATATAACATATTACATATGTATATAGCATACATGTATATAGTATTTGCCATGTGCTAAGCACTTTATATACACCAGTCTCTTTAATCCTCACTGCAGCCCTATGGGGCGGTCATATTACTAATCCCGCGGAATGGGGAGGAAACAGCTCTGTTTGAGTTGGGGCTGGGAATTGAATTCCGGCTCCAGATACTCTGCCCTGGACCACTCTATATATTCCCATAATTAAAAATCCAAATGATACAAGTAGCCTCCTACAAGAAATGTTAAAATTAAGGCCAAAGGGCCTTGGGTATCGTATTTAAGAATAAACTGAAAATTCGCCTTCCATCTGCCTTTCCAAAGGAGAAGACCAGCCATGACCTAAGAATGTTTTTATCATGAACTCTTTTTCCTGAACATCCCTGCCAACGTCATAAGTCAGACAGAGAAAGACAAATAGCGTATGACCGCACTTATACGTGGAATCTAAATAACAAATTTAAAAAAGGAACTCCTAGATACAGAGAACAGACTGGTAGTTGCCCAAGGGTGGGGTGGAGGGGAAGCCATAATGGATGAAGCTGGTAAAAAAAAAAAAAAAAAAGAGAGAGAGAGAATTATATGACAGTCTGGTTTCTAATTTCACTTTTTGAGGGCTGCTATGGACTGCATTGTGTCCCCACTCCCATCACCCAAATTCATGTGTTGAAGCTCTGACCCCCAATGTGATGGTATTCGGAGACGGGGCCACTGGGAGATGATTAGGTTTACATGAGGTCACGAGGGTGGGCCCCCGTGATGAGATTAGTGTCCTTACAAGAGACACCAGAGAGCTTGCTTGTACTCTCCCCACGCTGAGGGGACATGATGAGAAGGCTGCTATCTGCACATCAGGAAGAGAGCCCGCGCTAGAACCCAACCAGATTGGCACCCTGATCTCAGACTTCCAGCCTCCAGAATGGAGAAAAAATACATTTCTGCTGGTTAAGTACCCCCGGTACTTTGTTATAGCAGTCTTTGCTAAGTACATCTTTTAATTCAACCAAGGTTTATTGAGTGTCTAATAGGTGCAGGGCACTAGCCAATGCTGCAGGAGATACAAAATGAACACAGCACTTGCCAGTAAGGACTCGGACTTCAATCAGGGGCATGGAGTAAATGCTAATGCTCCTTTTCAAAAGCCAATGCAGGTGGTTTCTCCTTTGCTAGCTGGCTCCTGGGCTTACGGCGTAGCAGTTTCTGGGTTTCAATGACTATCAATGTCTCAGTGAAACAGCTAGAAATGATAGGGGTGGGTTCGAAGTGAGGGCAGAGCTTCCTCTCCCCAGGAGACATAAATCAACAGGAGAATCCGTCTCAATAAATCAAAGCCATCTAATATTCTTTACTTCTGTTCATGTTAAAATTTGAAAAAAGGGGAACAGCAATCTCTGTAACCAACAGGGCATTCAGGACCCTCTTTCATAAATAGTAGAAGCCTAGCACAAGGAATGAGGTGGGGTACACGTGGCCTGTCTGAGAATGTCACTGATAAATTACAAAGTAGAATCCAAGACTTCTAGCTGTGTTTGCTATGGGCTGATGCAGGCTGTGCTTCTAGCAACACCTCCCCCCCCCCAGAAGGTACCTGGCTGCCCAGACACAAAGCATTTAATGTAGAGGTTGCTACTAAAGGTGAGACGGTATGGCTGATTTTTAAACTGCGATATCACATAATCTGTCTAAACGATGGCTATCCCTTTCAAAGCAGTCTCAAGGTAGTATGGCTGATTTTTAAACTGCGATATCGCATTATCTGTCTAAACGATGGCCATCCCTTTCAAAGCAGTCTCAAGGTATTTCTACAATGCCTGCTATTTCTTAAAACACTTTTGATAACCTTTTGGATTTGCCTTTGAAGCTTGTGTCCCGTCTGTAACAGCATCCTCACTGGTGATAAATCTTCTTGCACTCAGAATGGATTTTTTTTTTTTTTTCAAATGGCAAAAGTCACTTGAAGTCAAGTCTAGTGGCTGGGGGCACAGGGAGAGGAGATGAGCATGTGAGGCTAAACCAGTTCTATAAAATGAGGTGTGACTGTAAAGTAACGATCGTGGGCTCTTGGGGGGTTATGGTGAGGTTCCCAGCCCGAAGTCGGACATGATAGAAGTAAAGGTTTCCTTCTCTTTGACAGTTAAATGTGAAAGCCAACACCCCAATGGAATTGCTCAGAGATACACGAATGGACCCAGGAAGAGAAGGCACTGGAGTGGCACACCACTTCACCACAGGGATACGTCTGAGCAATGCGGTACCGGGCGACTCCACTGCTGTGCGGCCATCATTGAGCCTCGGTGGGCCTGGGCCCCCGGCACACCTTGGCTGCATGGCCTATTTCTCTAAACCAACAACAGAAAGTATACTACATACACGAACCAGAAACGGTCGTTTATTATCATGATCGTGGAACGTACTGGACAGAATGATATGTCTGGCACAGGACTGGCCGAGCAAGAGGTCTGTGTGCACCAGCATCGCCACCGACGCGTGAGTCAAATGTGCTGCACGATCACATCAGGATGGCTACATCGCCAGGAACGTTTCGGCTGCACTATAATCTTATAGGGCCAGTGTCGTATATGAGGTGCGCTGCTGGCCGGAAGGCTACGTGGAACGTGACTGTACTCTCAGGGCTGGAATATGGTGGCATGATTAAATACAGTAATTCCAAAGAAATGGGGGTGAATGAAAAGCGTGTGTGGGGAGAGGGTCGGACGGGCAGTTCAGGAAAGAAAGGTGAGCTGGGGGAGCAAATGTGGTCTTGGCCAACAGGCCTTGCATATGTGGGCCCCAAGGGTAAGGCCTTTTGTGTAACAGAAATGGGGTTACTTCAGCCAAGCCCATTAAATACTCAAGTTACCGATTTAACTCTCCTGATCCTAATTCCGTCCGTCCAAAAACCTGGCTGCGGCATTTCTGTCTTAGATACGGTGGCCGAGAATCCCACACGATGGCGTTACCACGTAAAGCAAGGGATTATCCTCCTTTTGCCAATGAGGATTCTGGCTTGCAGATGTCAGGCAGGCTGTGTCATAGCAAAGCCAGCATTCCAAATGAAGTCAAGCCGGCCTCCAAGGTCGCCTGTGAATCCCTCACCTGTTATCCTGTCTCTGCTGCCTCTACTTCCTGGGTGAGAGGTCGAGCATCTCGAGCCAGGGGGACTGAGCCTGGGCGAGGGTTATATGCTCACCTGACTCCAGTACACAGCATTTTAGACATCGGTACTGACATTGTATACATTGGTCCTGACTTGTACTTGGTATTGGTCTTGACTTTGAACTTGGTTCATGTGAGTCTTCCCCCGAGGATGAAAACCGAGGTTTCTGAGCCTGTCAAGCTAAAGATCTGACTCAACATCCTCAAGACTGCACCAGAGTCATGAATACCACCCCCAGGAACCTGTGGAGACTGGCTTTTGGCCTCTCCATGGTGACATAGTCCTATTTTTATACCGAAATTTCTATAGTGAGAAAATGAATTTTCCCGGCTGACTCAAACTGAAGGTAACTAAACGTCTCCAAGCACGAGCAGCATCGCTGGAATAAACACTGTCTCAAACTCTCTCTCTTCGATGATTGCACCAATCTGGATGTGTGTCTTTAGTTAAAAAGTTTAAAAAGTCTCATTCCTTTACACAATAGTTATTACAGATCACGTGTACCCCTCAAAATGAAGGAAAGCCTACAGTTAGTACCCACAATTTACAAATGGGGAAATAAAGGCATTGATGGGGTTGATAACAGGCCCCAGAAGAAGTTGAGGTTACAAATCCTGAATGTGAGTCCCTTTAAAAGCCATACCCTACATAAATATCAAAGCATCGTGTACCCCTGAACCTAATACAATGTTTCATGTCAATTATACAATAATAATAATAATAATAATTCTACATAAATATCAAAGCATTGTGTACCCCTGAACCTAATACAATGTTACGTGTCAATTATACCATAATAATAATGATAATAATAGCCACTGTCTTTCTTCCCGTCCCAGCGGCTGCTCGTCGGTGAGAGCGAGCACTCCCATCAGCCTGATGGGTGCGTGGTGTGAGAGTTAAACCTCGCCGTGAAGCCACTGCGACATGTGGGGTCGTCTGTCATCGCAGCGAAACCTAGCCTCTCCTGACTGAAATTTTGCTTCTCTGTATGGTCGGCTGAAAAGCATTTAAGGCATCAGCCCTGTGATTTCCTGATCTTGCAAATAAGGTACTATCCTACCTTGCCGCCACGGTGATTAATGTACTATGCTGTCCCAAACTTTTCTTAAACTCATTTAGAC